TCATTTATTTATTTATTTATTTATTTATTTTAATGTAATTAATTAATTAATTATTAATTTATTTTAGTTTAATTTATTTAATTTATTTATTTTATTTATTTTATTTTTAGGACGGGGTAATTCGTCGTTGGGTTTTGCGCAATTTTTCAGAGCTGCTCGAAATTGAAGCCTGTAATAAAAATTATTTATTTAATCATTTAAATAAATATTAATTATATTAATTATATTAATTATATTTATTAATTATATTTATTAATTATATTTATTAATTATATTTATTAATTATATTTAATTATGTTTATTAATTATATTCGTATCTTTAGTTGCATTAATTGCGCTTATATATATCTTTTTGTGTTTGCTTGCGTTTATTTCTTTTATAAAAATAAAATTTTATTTATTTATTTCTATAACTGTTTAATTATGTTAATTATGTTTAATTATATTTAATTACATTTAATTATATTAGGTGTCTGTAGCTGCTGTCCAGTGCTGCTGACGATATAATGAGTGCTGCTGCTGTTGCTGCTGCTGCTGCTGCTGCTGCTGTTGCTGCTGCAGTTTCATTTAGAGAGGAAGCCGTTGCTTTGTTTGTCAGCCACACCGCGCGTTCTTTCGTAGCTGTTGGTGAGGGGTTTAGGGTTTAGGGTTTAGGGTTTAGGGTTTAGGGTTTAGGGCTCTAGCACTGAGGGTTTTATAGTTTAGGACTGCGATCAGCAGATTGCGGTGTATAGACACCTCGTTTGCTGCAGCTGCCTGTACACCCCAGATAGCACGAGCTGTAGCAGGAACTGCTGCTGCTGCTGCTGCTGCGTCTACCGCTGCTGCAAAAGTAGCAGTTGCAACAGTCCCTAGCAACAACAACAACAACAGCAGCAGCAGCAGCAGTTGCTGCTGCTGCTGCTGCTTCTGCTGCTGCTTCTGGTGCTGCTGCGTGTTGAGGGTGTACATATGCATTTGTTTGTTTTGTTTATTTGTTTTTGTTTTGCTGCTGCATCACAGGTCGCTGCGGTTTGCTGCTGATAAGCAGCACTCTGTACTCCGATTGCTGTCAATACACCCGAATCTCATGGCCTGAAGAGCAGCAGCAGCAGCAGCAGCAGCAGCAGCAGCTGAGTGCCCGCGATGGCAGCAGCAGCAGCTGCAGCGGCAGCACCAGCAGAGGGGAGTGGAATGCAGCAGCAGCAGCAGCAGCAGCAGCAGCAGCAGCAAGACGCCGGTTGGGGGTTATTGAAATGTTTCAGTGTTTGCTGCTTCCTGATGTGCTGCTACACCCCAGGGCCCCCAGCAGCGCCGACGTATTTTATTTTGCTGCTGCTTCTTCTAGTGGTTTGCTGCTGCTAAATGCAATTGTCTCTGAGCCTGAATATACAAATTCGTTTGCTGCGTCTGTCTTTGTTGTGCGATATCTCCCGGGGTGTTTCTGCTGCTTAGCAGCAACAACTGCTCCTATTCCTGATGGGCTTCTGCAGCAGCAGCAGCAGCAGCAGCAACAGCAGCAGCAACAGCGTCGCGAAGATATGTTGCTGTCATTTGATTCTCTGGGATCCGTAGATCTTCGTTACGCACCTCTAGTAGAGTCCTCTTCTTCTTCTTCTGCTGCAGCTGCAGCAGCAGCAGCAGCAGCAGCAGCAGCAGCAACAGCAGCACCAATAGCAACAGCAGGAACGGAAATGCTGTTGCTTTCATGTCTGTCTCCTCTGTCTCCTTTTCTAACACTTCTTGCATTAATCCCAAACCCTTTCGATTATCCAGGCTGCGATCTGCATGCAACAGTGCTAGAGCTTGCGCCTATGGGGGCCCCCCAGGGGGCCCCCCAGGGGCCCCCCTCTCAAGGGCCCCCCCCGCAGGGGGCCCCCCCCCAGGGGCCCCCCTCTGAAGGGGCCTTAGGGGCCTCTGGGGGCCCCCTAGGGGCCCCTGGGGGACCCCCAAGGGCCCCTAGAGGGGCCCCTGCAGAAGGCGGGGGGCCCCCTGTGATAACTTGGGTTGGGGGGGAGGAGAGTGTGGGGTGTGGAGACGATCCCAGATCGTTAGAGCAGCAAGAAGAAGATAGCGAAGAGGAGACAGATGAAATGATGCTGCAGCAGCAAAAAGAAAAGTGTAGAAGATATAAAAGAATTTTATGTGTTGCTGCACCGAAAGGGTCTGTGTTTGTCTACGAACTCTCATATTATCTGCCTCCTGAGGGCCCCCGCAGCAGCAGCATGCAGCCCGGCAGCAGCAGAGCCTCAACGCTGCAGCAACAACAACAACAGCAGCAGCAGCAGCAGCAGCACGGGCTGCAGTTCAGATTAAGACTTGTATACAGACTGGAGGGCAACAGAGGCAGAGACATTCTTATCTCTCTTCCGTCGTCTATTGTGCTGGGGAGAAGAGTTATTGCATGCAGCAGTGGGGCTTACTTGCTTAATTTATTTAATCTCGAGAGACACCCCAATCCAGATATATTTGTGCTGCAGCAGGAAGCAGCAAGTCCAGCAGCAGCAGCAAATCCAGCAGCAGCAGCAGCAGCAAACGCAACCAATTCATCAAATACACTTACGCCGCAGCAGCAAGCTGCTAATGAAGCAGAACAATGTGCTGCTGCTGCTACTGCTTATGTTGAGCTTCTTAGGGCTTCATTTTCATCTTCTGCTTCGGCTGCTTCTGCTGCTGCTGCTGCTGCTGCTGCTGGGCTCCCTGCACCACCAGCAGCAGCAAACCCTAACGTTAACATACATCACAATAAACAGCAAGAGCTACAAAACCTAATGCAGCCTTCTTTGAGGGAAGCAACAGCAACAGCAGCAGCAGCAGCAGGTGCAGCAGCAGCAGACGGTCCGCAGCAAGATGAAGCGCTGCAGCGGCAACTGCAGCAAATCACAGCAGATCTAAAGGCTTGCAACCTTGAAAACCAGCAGCTGCAGCGCATGCAGCAGCAGCAGCAGCAGCAGCAGCAGCAGCAGCAGCGGGGATCGACTATCCTCAACCGACCCCCATGGAATGATCGCTTCTCAGTGAAGGGCTCAGAAAACCAACATCTGTTTACTTAAACAGCAGCAGCAGCAGCAGCAACAGCAGCAGCAGCAGCAGCAGCAGCAACAGCAGCACCAACGGCAGCTCAGAAAACCAACACCTGTCGCTTGAACAGCAGCAACAGCAGCAGCAACAGCAGCAGCAGGTCAGGAAAATCAACATGTGTTTGTCTAAGCACCAGCTGCAGCAGCAGCAAGAGCAGCAGAAGCAGCAACAGCAACTCTAGCAACTGCAGAAGCAGGAACAGCAACAACAGCAGCAGCAACAGCAGCAGCAGCAGCAACAACAGCAGCAGCTGGCGCTGCTTGTGGAACAGAGGAGGGTTTTTGCTTCTGCTAGAAGCTGCACGGAGACGACAAATGCAATTTGCTGCTGCTGCCATGGTCTCGCTGCTGCAGCAGCAGCAGCAGCAGCAGAATAGGGGGGATTCTCTTGTTGAACCGAAGTGCTGCGGCAGCCCGAAGCAGCAACAGCAGCAGCAACAGCAGCAGCAACAGCAGCAGCAACAGCAGCAGCAGCAACCATAGTGGCAGCGCCAGTTGCTGTCTCTGCACAGAGCCAGCTTGGCTGTAACACCTAGCAGCTAGCTCTAGCTAGCTGCAGCTAGCTGTAACTAGTTCTAGCTAGCTGTAGCTAGCTGTAGCTAGCTGTAGCTAGCTGTAGCTAGCTGTAGCTATCTCTAGCTAGCTGTAGCTAGCTGCAGCTAGCCATCTCTGCAGGCAACTTCCGGCAGCTAGCTGCAGCTAGCTACAGCTAGCTAGTAGGGGAGCAGCAACAAATGCAATCAGACACACGCGGGCTAAAGCAGCGGAAGGTGATGCAGAAGCAATCCCAAACCCTAAACCCTAAACCATAAACCCTAAACCCTTAATTGGGTGTAGAAGGGTTTGTGTGTGCACTGAAGCATGCATAAGAATTCTACAGCTAGCTACGACTAGCCGTAGCTAGCTGTGGCTAGCTGTACAGACAGCTCAGAGACTTGGGCGTAGAACTTAGGGTTTAGGGTTTGACGCTTGCGCTCAGGAACCCTAAACCCTAAACCCTAAACCCTAAACCCTAAGGACGAAACGCTCAGAAGATCCGAACGCCACACTGCCACGATACTGCTTTAGGGTTTAGAATGATTTAGGGTTTAGGGTTTAGTGTTTAGGGTTTAGGGTTTGCTTACTATTACCAGTCAGCATGCACGGTTTAGTGGACGGGAGCCCTAAACCATAAACCCTAAACCCTAAACCCTAAACCCTAAACCCTAATCACCAACCCTTACCCCTAAACCCTTATTTCTGCATTTAATACCTTTGTCTCAATTTTATAATCAAAAACAAAAACGCTTAACTCTAGGGTTTATCTACGGCCCTGACGACTCCGTGTCCGTGTCCCGCCTAAACCCTAAACCCTTAACCCTAAACCCTAAACCCTTAACCCTAAACCCTAAACCCTAAACTCTAGGGTTACCGGAAGGGAGAGGCTTCTTTTGAAGATTTCTTTGCAGCAGAATATCGGGGTGCCTTCTCTAACTCACGTCTGGCTAAACCCTAAACCCTAAACCCTAAACCCTAAACCCGAAGCCCTCAACTGCGGCGCCTGAACTCCATACATTACACTCTAAACCCTAAACCCTAAACTCTAAACCCTAAATTCTTGAGCAGAAGAACCGGCGCGGTGTAACTCTGTTCCTTCTTGGCTACACCTCTACTTCAGAGACCCAACTGCTAAACCCTAAACCCTAAACCCTAAACCCTAGCAGACAGCCTTAAGGCGTCTGTACACTGTACACACCTGCAGGTGAGTTGTGCCTCTCAAAACCCTCAGGGCTTAGGGATTAGGGTTTAGGGTTTAGTAGCTTGTGCGGCGTGGAAGGGGTGGGCTTCGGGCTTCCGCCCGGCAGGTCAGTGTCCTAGGGTTTAGGGTTTAGGGTTTAGGGTTTAATATTTGTGTTGGGATGCAGAATGTCTCGCTGGAAGAAGTTTAACGACGACGATGTGCCGGACGACTTCGTGCTGCCTCCGGGTTGGTCTTGAGGGTGAAGGGCTGAGGGTTTAGGGTTTAGGGTTTGGGGTTTAGGGTTTAGGGTTTAGGGTTTAGGGTTTGTTGGGGTTTGCAGGGGACGTGGTTCGCGGTCGACTGCTCTTTAAGAAGCACTGCGCTCAATGCCACGTAATAGAGAAGGATCAGGCAGTGAAGACAGGCTGTACGTTGGTGAGTGGTTTAGGGTTTAGGGTTTAGGGTTTTAGGGGTTTTTAATCTTATTTTCATGCTTCTTTGTTCTTTCTGTCTTTGCTGATGGTTTCTGCGTCTCGTTCTGGCTTTGTTTGGGTCTTTTTGTGTATCCTGTCTGTTTATTTTCTATAGTCTAGGGTTTAGGGTTTAGGGTTTAGGG